TTTCATTTATGAAATTAAACAATGAAATCATGTAATTTTAGAAGGGGTCCACTCACAGATACTTCGTAGCAGCAAAGTTGTGCGGAAAAGGATTAAGAAAATCCCCACTAGCAAGTTCACCTAAGTACAAAAATGTACAATTTATCAAACTATGCCCAACGGTAGAATTATAGGAAATGGACGCCAAAAACGGATTCGGAACATCAAAATTGGCCTAGGAGAGATTTTGGGTTTTTGGGTCCTAAGGTTTTTAGTTAAAAAGGATTAGGGTGAAAATGGGTGGTTTGGGCTTAAACCCAAACCCACACAAACATACACACACACGGCACAACACACACACGTGCACACACTCACACGGACACACAACACACGCTACAAAAACACACACACATGCACAGCATGCGCGCGCGCACACACACACACACACGGCACAACACACACACACGTGCATACACTCACACGGACACACATACACACGCTACACAAACACACACATGCGCAGCATGCATACGCATGCACGGCATGCACACACACACGCACACAGAGCCCACATACACACGCACACACTCACGCACTGCACAACCCAACAGGCCTCACACACGGGGCCGGGCTTTAAACCCTTTCTAAATAAAAACGGCCCAAGGACCTTTGGGTCATTAAAATAAATAACAGAAAATAAATTAAAAGAAATAGAATGGGGGTTTGGTCTGTCCAGAATGGCCTGAAGGGCCTGCGCATGCAGATCGGGGAAGAACACCAGAAAATGGTGATCGGAATTCATCCCGATTCCGATTTGAAACTAAAACTAAATAAAAATAGGAAGTTAAATCATAAAAATGATGCTGAAAAAGAAGGGAAACAGAATTTTACCACAAATAGGATCAAATGGGGTCGAGATTGGCCAAGTTCGTGTACGAGCTTCGACGGATTTTGTCGTCGGGTTCTGGAAGAACGAAAATAGAGTGCATGCACAGATTAGAACCTTCCATTTGGACTGAGAACAACTCAACAAAAACAGAATAGGGCAGCGAGCCTTACCTGTGTTGGAGTTTCGGAGATTTGAAGCTCTCGGCTTTAATGGCAGAACACACAGAGGTGTTCTAATGATGCATGCAGGATTACAGTTGAGTTCCTCAAGCCCTAAGGATTCTAGATATGTGGTTATTTTGTTGGATTTGTTTAGATTTCGAAAAGGGAGGGGGGACGAGAGCTCTCGGAGCTCTGGGGAGAATGGAAACTTCCGAGAGTTAGAGAGAGAGAGAGAGGAAACTAAGTTTTTCAGAAATATAAGGAAGGAAGAGGATAGGGCTCACGGGTTGGGTCATTGGACCTAACCTTGGGCCTTAAGTTAACACAAAGGGGGCTGGGCTTGGCCCAATGAAATCTAGGTTATTTTGGGTAAGGGAAAGTTTGTAAGCACTTTTATTCCGACTCAGATCCTTATTCCTTACGAAAGGTTTTTTGAAAGTTGAAACGATATAGCACTAGGCCCAAGGTTGAGACCAGGTTAGAAGGGTTAGATTGGTGTTTGGCATGTAAAGACTAGTGGTATGATATTGGGATACGTTTTTAGGTATATGGGGCCAGTACCTGTAAGCTTGAAGACAACCTAGATAGGTTCGGGATATAACAGAGTGCTTGTCTATACTTTTGTTTTTGTAGTTAAGAGAATATGTAATTGCTTCGCAATCATTAGATTTGTAAACTTATTACTTGGGGTGCCCTTTGCCTTGCTGTGCTGAATAACAATGAGAATATATTACTGAATTCTAACAGGAAAAAGGCAGGCCACTCCCAAAATTTGGTGAATGGGACGTCAATGATCCTGCTTCGGCTGAGGGGTTTACTGTGATCTTTAACAAGGCTAGGGATGAGAAGAAGACAGGTGGAAAACCAGAGTCACCAGGAAAGGTTGATCCTACTATCAGGCATGGAGGAGGAGTGAATCCTGGCACTGGCAGTCCTTCGTCTGTAAGATTTTTTCTCATTTAACTGTTGTCTCGTTTCTTTCTCAAATGTTTTGATATATACATGAGTCAGCCAATAGAAATACATTCTTTGCGGTTTTCTTAATTGCAAATTTGCAAGTTATTGCTTTTCAAGTGACGTTGGTAGTACAAAATACAACTATATGTAACACTGCCTTATTGGTCAAACTCAGCATACCATTTTATGTGAAAATCAATGCAACTGACATATATAGAACTCTAGAAAGGAAATGTGGCGAAAGACAGATCTAATGTTAGGGCCAAGATATTTGAAAAATAAAAGAACACAAGATGACTCGGCTGTTTTATCTGCATTATTCCATGCGAGTGGAATCGGCATACGTTAACTCGGGTTCTGTCTCCTTTTGGACAGATGTAGCCTAATAGGAACATTTGTTTGTTTTATTGTGAACAATTGAAAGAACTAATGGCCCTGGAAATATTTGCTCTTGTCAATTGATCATTGTGTGACCTTTTTGTTTTTTCTATGCGTTTTCTGTATCTGCTGCGTTTCCAATAGTAGACTAATAGAACGAATAACTGGAGGGTGATTGTTTCTGCTGCGAAAATCTAATATGCTTAAATTCCTCGCTCTTTGCGGATGATTTTATTTGGTTTGATTTCCTGGTGCACAGAAAAAATGGTTTTGCTGGCAGAGGTTTTGACAATTTTGTTCTCCCAAGTGCTCCAACGGAGGAGCACGGTGTTCGTAACTGGCTGCACTATATTTCCTCGCTCACTCTCTGTCTATGAAATTGGCAGCCGGGGAAGAAGTTTGAAGCAATGGGTAGCAGTTTGCCAAAGGAAATCGTACGTGGTATCCTTTTGAGACTACCTCCTAAAGCTTTGATCCAATGCACCTCGGTGTCCAAGCCTTGGAACTCCATGATAAAAAATCCCAGCGTTATTCGCACCCACCTCAGCCGTACCATCGATTTTACCCAGTTTGGCACCCACCACCTCCTTCTGCAATGTGTTCGTGGAGGCAATCCAATGGAGCAGAATTACTATTTGCATTATGATAGCCATGCTTTTGATGAGTACTGCAAGCTAGAATATCCAAGTGTTCCCAAGCGCAATAGATTTCTTCGTGTGGTGGCAATACGGGGATCCGAATACTTTTTATGGGGGTTTATTCACTTGCTAGAGGATTGCGGAGTAGTCCTCATTCGTTTGATCTCGTTTGTAAAGGTTTTGATTCACGCAAATTTCAGGCCTCTGTAGTGTTTGATAATCATCTGCTTAGTCCGCCTTGTAGCATAATTCGTCGAGAGCGAGGATCTAACCATGTACAAGTCCCAACCATACAGTATTAAGAAACATATCTAACCTTAATTGAAGGAGACAAGGGTTGTGGGAAGATTGTTGAGTGAATATTCATATGCAACAAAAAGGAAATTAAGAAGTTGGTTCCTTTCTGTCGGTTTCTTTTTGGTTTTTATGGAATTGGCTTTTATGTATTTTGCGGAATTGGTTCACTTTAGCACTACTAATTTTATTGTTGGGAGAACGATTAGTGAAAATCAAATTTCACATGGTAGACACAAGTTACTTGTCATAAGTCTAAAATTACTTGTCACTGATTCAGTTTCACCAAGCTTAATTCGTCTCACTTAATCTTCAAAATTAACATAATAAGCTAGTACTTTCACTTTATGAAAATCTTGCTCTCGTTTCCTTCAACATCTAGATGTCCACTAATTATAAGGAAAATCAACGAAAAATTAAAAAAAAAACTTTAGTTTTAATGAAAAATGACAAATAAAGGTGTAATGAATAGTACCATGGAAAAGGTACAAACGTGGTTTTTAAGTTAACAGTACCGAGAGTGTTTTGTTAAAACTCTCTTAATTATATGCTAATCTTCAAATTGATCATAATCAAATATGGCTCTGTGAGTAATAAGTAGTATAACTACAAGACGGTAAAGCATAATACATGGTAACTTCGATAAATCTGGTGTCCTTAGGAGCATTTTCTTTTTCTTTGTGTTGTAAGGCCCAAGTTGTTTTAGTGTCTTTTACTGTTTAAAAGTGATTGTCTCTACATTACATACAGTGGCAACCAATTACGCTCACAAAATAATATAATCAGCGTTGCAAGGGAATGTTGCTCAGTTGTTTACGAGTCACCTTTCCACCCGAAGTTTCATGTTTGGTTCACCATCTCCAAAATCGATCGCATAAGGGAAAAAAGAAATTCTAGCAATGATCTCTCAATTAAAAATTCATGATTATTGATCTCTTAACTTCTCAAAACGTGCAACTATAGTCATTTTTGTCAAAACAAGTCGTGTTGAAAAAAACATTGCTACAATTGTGTTAAAGTTAAAAGACTATTGCTCCAATTGGGTTAAAATTGAGAAACCATTTCTACAATTTTCTCATTTAGTTTTCCATATTCGCTTCTTTATTCGGCCTCACGTGCGTGGCACGTGACTCATTTTGACAGAAATTTTAGCAGTGTTGATGAAAATGATTATAGATGCACATTTTAATGAGTTAAGAGACCAATGATCATGAATTTTTAATTAAGAGATCATTATTTTAATTTAGTTAAAGTTAAGAGACCATTGTCACAATTTTCTTCAATGAAAAAAAAAAAAAGAAATATATATATATATATATATATATATATATATATATAACTGTGTAGGACATTGGAGAAAAGAAAGCAATCAAAATGATAAAACAATATGACCCCACGAAAAATAAAGAGAGGAAAAAGAGGAATCTAAGTTTCGTTTTGGGCAGAAAGAAGAAGACATTATGCTCTTTCAACAGCTAATTATCGCAGCAATAACCAGCCATATAATTTTTGCAACTTATAGTAATTTATTTTTTTTCCCCAAAAAAGTTCTTGAAGTTTGCATTTTAGTCCCCATCCATTTATCCTATCCGGATCACTTTTCAGATTTTCCCATAAATCCTCACCTATCACTGCCTGCCACGTCTCACTCTCCCTATCTCTATTCTTTCCCGTACTCTCCCCCTCAGCACTCACTCTCTTCTCTCTCAGCTCAACTCTCTCTCTCTCCCTCTCTCTCTCGGACTCTCTCCCCGATCGAACCCACACACACCCACGCACACTCAAAGTGGCACCCCGGCAACACCACCACCATGCTCACCCTCGCGAGAATCTCCCCTCCCTCTTCCCCGTCTCAGTGAAGCTCGGTGAAGCCCAGAAACCCAGGAGATCTCCGGCGAACCCCCGTGACTCTCGAGCGAAAGTCCGGCCAGTTCCCGGCCACCTATCGTCGTGAAACAGGTACCAATCTCTTCCTCTCACCTGTACCTTCGTTTTGGCACTTAAATCGTAGACTAGGGTGGCGTCGTCCGGAGCTTCGAAGCTCCGGCCTCCTTTTCCCGGCAAGAAACAAACCCAGGCCCTTCGGGCCTTTGGCCCGCTACAACCTAAACCCAACCCTTGCAACTACACAGGCCTTCGGGCCAAGTCACACGGGCCCTTGGCCCAATAATTAGTTCTCATCATTTTAATTTGTGCAGTTGTGACTATTTTTGAGTCTGTATTTGTTGATCACAAGCAGAGTTAGATTTGAACTTCCATGTAAGTTCTTATTATAGCAGCTATAGGCATATAACGAGACTAAATCATGATATATGATCAAGGGATCCTTGTGATCAGATATGGCTAGGGTTTATTAGGTGTGTGATCCTCATCATCAACTATACTTTTTACAAGGGATATCATTCATAACCCAGCTATAGGCATGCCGATATCGTTGAAAGTACTAAAACAATGAAAAATATGAAGTCTTACCCTACGTGAAGCTTCCGAAACTATTTTAACTTTGACGTATTTTTCTCAAATTATTTTGATTAGTTGAAATTTATTTTTATTTCCATGTATAGCCATGAATCATCTTATCTCTTACTTAAGAATCATCTTATTTACGGTTATTTTATAAGCAACCTTGATCTGAATCCGCCCCATTACCATCCCTAGCTATTCCTAAATTGTCACCTCCAGAATGCTTTACTACGAGTCCATTAATTGATTATTTCACTTTTACTATAAATTTGTATGTGATTGCGCAGGCATCAATCATTAGTTCTCATCATTTTAATTTGTGCAGTTGTGACTATTTCTGAGCCCCAACAGATCAAGCTTCCAAATTTCCAAGAAACTAGTCTTTGACTGTTACTCTTCCCGAACGGAGTCAGATTTAACTTCCAATGTAATTTCTTATTAGTCAACTGAATAATACATTAGTTGTTTTTTCATTTTACTTGAACTACATTTTATTCATTTGTTTCTTCACTTAATTTGTGCAGTTCTGCACCTCAATATTGCTCAAGGACGGTTCATTCACTATTTCTTCGACTGCTTGGAGTTCTCTTCGCTCTTAACATGGCACTCGGAGAGGTTTTTCTTGCGGAGTTTCTACAGTTGCTGCTCGACAGGTTGACTCGTCGCGAGGTTCTCAACTATTTTGGAAACTTCCGGGGTGTTGGAAAGAAGCTGGACAAGTGGAGGGCCACGTTATCTACAATCGCAGCGGTGCTGAGCGACGCCGAGGAAAGACAATTGACTGACCATCTTGTAAAACTGTGGCTCGATGATCTCAGAGACCTGGCTTATGATGTTGAAGACATGTTGGACAAATTTGCCACTCAAATGTTGAAGCGTATGATAGAGGGATGTGTCAGTGCGAGCAACAAGGTGCGGAACTCACTTTTCAAAATTAAATTCAATTGGGATATGAACTCCGAAATGAAGAAGATTACGGAGCGGTTGCAAGACATATCTGAACGGAAAGACAAGTTTGGCTTGAAAGATACTGGGACGTCTGCTAAGGAATCGCAAAGACTACCAAGTTCAGGCGTATTAGATGAAAAGCTTGTTGTTGGAAGAGACGGTGACAAAGGGGAGATTATTGAATTGTTGTCCAGAAAATACGAGCGTGCAGGTGCTGTCAATTTTGGTGTAGTTGCTATAGTTGGCCTGCCAGGAGTTGGGAAGACGACACTTGCTCAACTTGTATTCAACAACAAAGATGATGCCATGAAGGAGTTTGAGCTCAAGGTCTGGGTATCTGTGTCCGATGACTTCGATGTGGTGCGAGTGACAAAGGCAATTCTTCAATCAATCACATCCCAACCCGTTCAAGTGGAGGAGTTTAGTAAAATGCAGCATGATTTGAGTGAGCAATTAAGAGGAAAAAAGTTTTTAATTGTTTTAGATGATATTTGGGACAAAGATGACTATGATCTATACGATCTCTGGACAAGACTTCAATCCCCTTTTGGCGTCGGAGCAGGAGGAAGTAAGATAATTGTGACAACCCGTGACAGGAATGTTGCAAAGATTACGGGAGCCGCTGGAGTTCATAATTTGGAGTGTATGGCAGATGATGATTGTATGGAAATATTTGAGCGACACGCGTTTGGGGAAAATAATAACGGAAAACCAGTAAATTATGAGGTAATTCGGACGAAAATTGTTGGAAAATGTTGTGGATTACCATTAGCTGCAAGAACTCTCGGTGGTCTTTTACGTCGCCAAGAAAAAGAAGAGTGGGGAGAAATATTGGACAACAAATTATGGAATCTAGCAGATAAGAGTGGCCTTCTTCCTGTACTAAAGTTGAGCTATCCCTATCTTCCATCACATTTGAAGAGGTGTTTTGCCTATTGCTCAATACTTCCAAATGACTATGAATTTGGGGAGAAGGAGCTCGTACTTTTGTGGATGGCAGAGGGTTTGATTCAACAAAAACATGACGACAATAAACAAATGGAGGATTTGGGCCGCGACTACTTTCGAGAATTATTAGCAAGGTCGTTGTTTCAAGAATCAAGCAAAAACAATTCACGATATGTCATGCATGACCTCATTAATGATTTAGCACGATGGGCAGTAGGTGAAATATGTTTTAGATTGGAAGATAAGCAAGGTGATAACTTGCAAAGCACTTGCTTTCGAAGGGCTCGCCATTCGTCTTTCATTGCTGGTCAATTTGATGGAGTTATGAGATTTGAGGACTTTCCAAAAGCTGAACGTTTACGAACATTCCTGCCACTTTCACTTTCAGATTCCAGGGGATGGTACAAATATTTGTCTCGTAAGGTTACTTTTGAGTTATTACCACAGTTGCAATACTTACGAGTGCTCTCTTTCAATGGCTACAAAATAACTGAGCTGTCAAAGTCAATCGGTGATTTGAGGTTGTTACAGTATCTTGACCTATCCTACACATTGATAACCAGTTTGCCCAAATCAACAAGCACTCTTTACTACTTGCAAACATTGATATTGGAAGGTTGTTATAAATTGAAGTCATTGCTTGCGGACTTGAGCAATCTAATTAAGTTGCGCCATCTCAACAACTCAGGTGTATATTCGTTGGAAAGAATGCCTTCGCAACTAGGTCGATTGACGAATCTACAATCACTGCCTCTTTTTGTGGTGAGCGAAGGTAGTGATCAGTCAGGGATAAGAGAGATAGGGCCCCTATTGCATCTCCGAGGGACATTGTGCCTCTCAAAATTGGAGAATGTGATTGATGTTGAGGATGCCAGGAGGGCCAACTTGAAATGCAAGGAGAGGCTTGATTCGTTGGTCCTAGAATGGTCTCGTTCAAGGGACACAAGAGAAACGGAATCCATTGTGCTTGGCATGTTACACCCTCATAGAAAGATCAAGGAGCTCACCATCAAGAGTTATGCCGAAAAGAAATTTTCATCATGGGTTGGAGGTTCTTTCTTCTCTAATATGGTGCTTGTGCGCTTAGAGGAATGTAACAATTGTTTATCGTTGCCACCTCTCGGACAATTGCCTCAACTCAAAGAGCTCTATATTAGAGGAATGAATGCGGTGGAAAGTGTTGGTGCTGAGTTTTATGGCGAGTGTGTCTTGGCTTTTCCGTTGTTAGAGATTCTCGAGTTTGTGGATATGCAGCATTGGAAGGTGTGGCTTCCCTTCCAACTGGATCACGGAAGTGGTGTTTTCCCTTGCCTGGAAAGGCTTTCAATAAAAAAATGTTCCAAGTTGGAAGGTAAGCTGCCAGAGAAGCTCGATTTGTTAGCCAAACTTGAAATTGTTAAATGTGAGGAATTGGTGGTTTCGATTGCCAACTACAAACAACTTCGTCAAATAAACATTGACGGTTGTAAAGTATTGGTACATACAGATGCTAAGGTTGAGTTTGAGTTATTAGAGTCCTTGTGGCTTTCAAACATTTCGGAGGTGATGTCTTTGCAAACAGGGGAATTGTTCAGGAAGGGATTAAGCAAGGTTAGAGATTTGAAGATCAGTGGATGTGAGAAGCTGACGTCTTTATGGAAGAATGAGGGTAGATTATTGCGGCGGTTGACTTGTCTTGGCCGTTTGGAAATTGAAGACAACTCTCGTCTAGTTGAAGAATTGGGAAAAGAAGCAGAGGAGTTGCGGCAATTGGAAATATTGGAGTGCAAGCTTGAATGTCTGGAGTTAAAAAAGTGCGGAAATCTTTTAAAGCTACCAAAAGGGTTAAATCAGTTGTCGTCTCTTCAAGAGCTTCGCATATACAAATGTTCATCTCTAGTTTCTTTTCCAGATGTTGGTCTGCCACATTCTCTTAAAAACATCGAGATTATAGAGTGCGATTCGTTGATATATTTTGCAAAATTCCAGATTCCCCAAAATCTCAGAAGAATAGGGATAAGAGGTTGCAAAAGTTTGAAATCACTAGTAGATGAGGAGGGTGTTGGTTCTTCTCATGGTTGTCTTGAGTACTTGGATATCCAAGGATGTAAATCTCTGACGTCGTTATCATTGAGTGGTCAGCTCCTCAAGACACTTAAACACCTCGGGATATCTGGTTGTGAACAACTGGAGTTAATCGCACAGGACGGGTTCTTGTACGACAACACTAATTACTGTCTTGAATATTTTAGGATATGGATATGTGAAAATCTGAAATCCTTACCGGATGGCTTATGCCACCTCAGCAATCTTCAACAGCTACGTATTTACAAATGTGGAAGTCTTGTTTCCATCCCGAGACTGAGTGGGGGGAGAAGACCTTCCAACCTGAGACATTTGAGCATCGACTACCGTGAAGGTTTGACTTTTCCTCCCAACCTAACATCACTTGATATTAGGAAGGTAAAGAGCTATAAGTCATTGTGGGAGTTGGAATTGTGGGGGTTGCACAAACTCACCTCTCTTATAATGGATGGTGAAGAAGACCCGGATACGGTGTCGTTTCCACCCGACATGGTCCGCATGGAGACGCTCTTCCCCAAATCTCTCACTCGACTCAGAATAGTTGGCTTCCCGAATCTGAAGAAACTGAGCAGCAAGGGCTTTCAATTCCTCACCTCCCTTCAATCTCTGTGGCTCTTCAATTGTCCAAAGCTAGCATCCATTCCAGAGGAGGGTCTGCCTCCTTCACTAGAGGAACTTGGCATCATTAGGTGTCCAGTGCTAAAAGAGAGATGCCAACCAGGAAAAAGACGCTACTGGCACAAAATATCCCACATCCCTTACATAGAGATGGGTGTTAACGAGATATGAAGCTGATGGTCCGGGTATCATTTTCTTGAGGAATGTTTTAATATTAATATTATTATTATTAGTAATCATGTTTATTCTTGTAAAGTAAAGTAATCCACAATATTTCTCGGCCGACGTTTCTTCCGGATTCCTATATTTGCATTTTTTTTTGGGGTAAACGATTGCTATGTTTGCTTGGTCCCTTTTAAACTGATTTGTATTATAACTTTATAAATGTGCTACTCTTTCTCCTAAGTTTGGAGTTTTTCCCATTCAGTTTTCTCCCTGCAAGATTTTAACCAGGCCACTTAAACCGAATCTTTTAATTTATTTTAGCAAATTTTAACTTACGAGCTAGTAATGCATTTTATTTAAGGAAAACTAATGAAAATGGTTTCAAAACTATGAATTTTAACAATAAGGACAAAATAAAAGGTAAAGTGAATAGTATCAGGTTTGACTTTTTAATGTAAAAATATGATTTTTCGTTAAAATATGCAGTACCGTGGATTTTTTGTTAAAACTCTCTTTTATTTAATGCATCGAGAATAAGCAATCAACAAAGAAATGGAAATGCAAGGGGCTCGTTGCTCAAGTTGTGTTGTCTCTAGCATCTAAATGATAATTGGACTTTTGAAAAGTTGCGTTAGCTTCGAGATGCTAACTTGACTATTTTTTTATGTAGGAATTGGTTTCCCAATGTGGAATGGTGACCACTAAATGACTTCTTTTACTATGACTTGTCTTCCTGGAAGTACAAAATACGTGCCAAAGAATTTTGGTCAATCAAATCTTTATACCAAATTTTCGTCATTTATTAAAAAAGTGTACTATTCATCTAATTGACAAGTGATAAATTGATGATAATTATGCGTTTTAACTGAGTTCTAAGAAAAATTAAGCGTAGTAATACATCAGTACTAAAACTTGAATAAGCTGGTTCGATTTTATTCATGGATTTAATATAGTATAGTGATTGTGCAATTTTCTATTTTTTTATTGGAGTCTCAATTTTATTCCAAACGCACAAACCACGTCAGGGCTGACGCCGACTTAATGGCGATACGAATCATCTTTCCGTTCCCGTCAGCAAAATAACGCCGTTCAACCCGAAACAAAAACCGTTGAAGCCTCGTATTCTTTCCCATATTTCACAATGCGATTTATGCCCATTTCTGGCCCAACGTCTCTCTCTCTCTCTCTGCGCTTTCCGAGTCATTTCATTTTCCCGGAAAATAAAAAGGTTCTTTCCTCTTTGATCGAATTCATGTCGGTACGTAATCTCTTTCTTCAATCCGAATATAAATTGTGACATCCCGTCCCGGGATTTTTAAAAACGTACTAGTGAAATGACATTTTAGCCCCTAGTTCGTTTCGTTATTTGGTTTTGGTTGTTTTGTGTGGTGTTGGCAAGCTGAGGGCCACACACACACACTGTCTCACTGTCTCACTGTCTCCCTCTGTCTCTCTCTCTCTCTCTGTGAGTTCCCCGAGCCCCATTCCCTTTCCTCCTCTTCGAAAACGTACGGACAAACCCACAACCACCCTAAACACTAACAGATCGAGGGAACCAAGGACATATTTAAGCTCGTGAGGTCGAGGGGAACACAACCGTAGCAATTTCAGGTGAGAAACATTTAGTTTTCACGTCGTTTCGAAGTGGTCCGAATTGTGTACTGTTCATGCAAAGTTTGTACATTAAGTTTTTGGGTTTTCTGAGCTTGTAGATGTGTTGGTGAGGTCCCAAGGAGCCTCGGAGTGCTTCGTTGGACAAAATTGGACGTCGGGATCGTCCTGTTCTAAGTTGGCCGGTTTTGGAGAAATTTCACAGGTATAATCTCTTAGTTTTAGCCCTTAAAACTTGTTGGGACTTGTTCTACTAGTCTAGGGCTTTCTTTTGGTCCAAAAATCACGAAAAACGGTTGAAAAATGAGTGAGAAAACCTGAGTTGCAGGTTTTCCCAGTTTCCGGCGCCGGCGACGTTGCCGGCGATCGAAGGAAGAAGGCGACGGAATATTCCGTCAATTCTGACGGAATATTCCTAACGCCGTTAACGGAACCAGTTAGAATTAACGGAATATTCCGTCAGTTTGACGGAATATTCCTGACGGCGTTTGTTGACACCGTCAGTGTGCCTGGCACGTGGCCGCGCGTGGGTGGCGCGTAGGTCCGTGCCTGTGCTGGCGCGTGGGGGCGCGTGCGGGGTCCAAAAATTTTTCTAAAAATATGGTTGTGATCCTGAGGTTGTGTAGAGCACGTGGGTATATTCATTTGTCCATTTTGAGCAATGTATGAGAAGTTATTACGAGAAACGGGTTATGTGCTTTAAAGTTAACGTTTTTATAGTTGTTTCGCATCTAGGTGACACGTACCCAGAGGACGAGCGTGCACACGCGAGACAGGGGGGCTACGACCCTTCTACATACCAATGAGTGGGCTTTTGTTTTCCGTATATACCTATATACATTTATATTCCCAGAAATTGAATTAAAAAGGGTTATTTGCCTTATGCCATTCACTTTATTATTTATCGTTTATGCATCTTTGCATGCATTATTTGTGGCATACATATACATATACATATGTCATATATATTTATATGTGGGTGCTGTGGAGGCATAGGTAAGTGCCAGGTAAGCGTTAATTAACGATTGCATTACATAGTGTTTAGAGATGCTTAGAGAGCTCATAACCTGCACCCCCGGTGTTAGTGCTCCCGCCCAGAGTAGGGCACAGTCCTTCACGTGTTGTTCACCTCCCGCACCATACGCTCAGCTTGGATCCAAGCTAGGTGCATAGGCCTGTCGTACATACCACTTTAGGTGGTTCCGACTCGTAGGTGACCCGCGATTATTCGCACAGCCTTCACGTGATCGTAGCACTAGAGCGTATATATGTATTACACCCAGGCCTGTCGTACAGACCACATAGAGTGGTTCCGACTCGTGGGCAGGTTCAGTTGTTGAGTTTGAGATTGAGCTCTATATGCAGCCGTACAGGTCACGTTAGGTGACTCCGGCTGCCAGATGTTATGTTATTGATATGATTCATACCTGAGCACATACATTTCATTACGAGGTTTTGACCTGGCATATCTTGAGCATGATTGGCATACCCTTGAGCATGTTGGGCATATCTATACATACGTACATATGTTTATTTTCTGGGAAGTATACAGGTTTTACGGTGAGGGGTTAGAATGTATTTTATGAAATGGTTTTCAAGGAGCTTTGTTTTTGCCCACTCACGCTTTTGTTTTGCGCCCCTCCAGGTTCTAGTTGCTTAGCCGTTGCGGTGGTTTCCCTTGAGAGCTTTCCGGCGTTCTGACAGACACTCCACATTGTAGGGTCGCCTTCGGGCGTACTACTGTTGTCGTTTTATTTGGACTACTATAGACCTGCTCTGAATTTGTATCGCACTAACTAGCACTTATTCTAGTACTTGTATGCTAGTTTTTTTTTTTTTTTATTATTCGTACCTTTATATTACTACTTACTAGCTTCCGCACGTGCACATGGCTACGTCACCTTTGAGTGACGGCCAGCACGCTCCGATCTCGGTCGGGGTGTGTCATAAATTCTTAATCTTTTGTATGGCTTTATTTGGTTTTTGTTTAAATTTAATCTTTGAGATGCTTATTTGCTGGGTTTCTGATTGGGTTGAGCTCTAATTCAGTTAGATTTATTCGTTAATTTGTATTGACTTGAGTGTAATTCTCTCAGATGCATTGGTTTTATATTAATTTCTTAGCAAAATTCATGTTTTTAGTTTTAATTTTTATGTTTTTATCATTATTAAAGTAAATACATATACTTGATGCAAAATTTGGATTCTTCAGAGGAGCAGATTATAGTTTTTCCGTTTTATTTATGGTTTTGTTTGATTAGGAATATGGTCAAAATGAAAATGAACAGAAAAGGGTTAGTGAGAAAATGACAAGTTTTCTTTGTGTTTATTACAAAGTTAGTAAGTTGAAATTTTTGAGGGTATATTGCTTCTTGGAGCAGGTATTGTTTCGAGAGTGTGAATCCCATGTCGAGAATTGAAGTGTTACGTAAATAGTTTGAATGATCTCAGGCGTCTCCACCCGTTGCCAATTAGTTTCGGGTTGGATGCTCGAATTGTAATAGAATAAAAGGTACTGTTGTTTTTTTATTGTCGTTCGTTGTGTGAGTGGGGAATATAATCTTTATACAAATTGCTTCCTGATGGTGTTTATGACTGGTTTCTGTATTTACTTTTAATGCTTAGTATATTAATGGCATCGCATACTTCCTAAGATTTCATGGTCATGTGTTTGTATGGTTTTGTATGTATGTGTGCGATCTTCATCCCGACTTTGAATGCATAAACTAGCTGGATGGAGAGGTTTTGTTGTTATTGCCTTGCCCAAAACAAGGATTTCATTGAGGGCTAAATAGATTTCTTTTAACTGGGTTATTTTGTGGTCGGGGAAGGTTAGAGTTCTTATGTGGTCGGCCAAGTGCTTTGTGAAAAATGGATTTATGTTGTCTAAATAGTTGTGTTTCAATTGCCTTTTCTGAGCTTCTTCCTTCCTGTCTGGTATCTATTTTCTATCATTTTTCATAGGATGTTAGCTCCATGGTGACATGGTGTGCTGGTTGCTTTATGTTTGTATATTCTCGTGTTTTTTCATTACAATGTTGAACTCAGTGAAATGCTAGTACTTGTACTTCGAGCCTCGACTAGAAAAAAACGTCGCGCGTACTCGGTATTTTCTCCGGGATGCCTTGTGATATTCTAACATTGCTGGATGCTGGCTACAGATGAACATTTTTCCTTCAGTTTGTCTGCTAACTTACAGTCCAAGAAGAAGTTGCTTATCATAACATGTTGCCATTGTTCATGGATATATACAGTTATTTTAATGAGTTTCTTTGAAATTTTTTGTGATATTTTCATGCCAAATAGGACGAGAAGAAAATTTCATATCTCAGTTTTTTAGCTCATAAGATTTATGTTTCTCTCGTCATGAGACTTTTACAATAATTTTTGCTCCTATAGTCTATCAAAATAATAATATTTTAGTAGAGACTAGTAGTTTGTTACTGTAAATTTTGTGTTCAACTGAAAGCAGCAAGAATAATGTGTACGCTTTTCTTTTCTTTTTTCCCAAAGAATTTTTTATCCTCTTCCTCTGCAATCCTTGCATGCTGGTTTGGCAGTAAAATAAGAGTTTCAGAGCAATTAAAAAAATCAACTAAAATACTACTATAATTCAAAATAATTATATGATTGCCACGTTTTCCGACCACCCAACTGTATTAGCAACCACGTTACCCTTACAATCAATCTTAATAACCAGGTTTCGACGAACCTCCTTGTGCTGCATTGTGTTCGCATACATGAACCCGGGGAGGAGCATTATTATTTGCATTATGGTAAATAATTAACCATGATTTTGATGAGTACTGTAGGCTAGAATTTCCAATCATTCCTAAGGGAGAATGGTTCAATATGACCTATAGACTACAAGAACTCAAATTCCCTTTTTGTTATCTTCTATAAACCATCCGTCAGAGCTCTCGGCAGGCGGTGATCATATTTGGAGAATGACTAGACACATGTTGGGGCGTCATTATGACATCATGGGTGAATAATACAATTTCGTGTTTAAGTTTCTCTCCACGTACATCACGTTAACTTTGTTTTTTTTACTTTCTTAGCATGTTTGGGTGCATTTTCAGTTTTTGGATAGTGGAAAGGTCAAGTTGGTAGCAGATTCACATGACAAAGACATAAGTCTAAAATTCCTTGTCACTAATTCAGTTTACCGAGCTTAATTGGTCTCTCTTAATCTACCAAATTGTCATAATAAGCTAGTAATTTCACTTCATGAAAATCTTGCTTAATGTTGTTTGACTTGTTTCCTTTCTTAAACATCTAGATGTTCGTTAATTATATGCTAATAATAATTGCTCTTCATCTTCAAATGGATCATAAATTACTATAGCTCTGTGACTAATTAAGTAGTATAACTCCAAAATGGTAAAGCATAATCCATGATAACTTTGGTAAATCTGGTGTCAGCAGGATCATGTTCTTCTTGGTGTTGTGTGGCTTAGGTTGTTTCAGTGTCTTTGACTGTTTTAAATTGATTCTCTATATTATTTACAATAGCCTACAAAAAACTGAACCAAACACCGTCACAAAATAATATCATTGGTGTTGAAAGGGAATGCAGCTCAGTTGTTTACCAGCAGTCACCTATCCACCCGAAGTTTCATGTTTGATTCCCCCAAAATCGTTCGTATAACCGTGTAGGACATTGGCGATAAGAAAACGATAAAAAAGAGAACAATATTACCCCACGAAAATTAAGGATAGAGAAAAAAAGAGGATTCTAACTTTCTTTATAGACAGAAAGATGAAGGCTTGTTATGTTGAACACGTAATCGTTATAGCAATTGAAGAGTTCTGAAGTAGTTGTCGTCGAAAGAGGAAGACTTGTTATAGTCTTTCAAGTCAACACCTAATTCTCATAGCAAATTGATCTGCAAATAGTCAACAAAAACTCAAATTGCATTTAAACTACCTGTTTTATTAAAGGGGTGTGCTATCCACACATCTATTTTTACTTTTCACACACCTCTTGTAAACTTCTGTCATTTCATGTGATCTGACGGTTGAAAATTAAAAAAGTGTGTGAGAAGTAAAAAGATATGTGTAGATATCACACCCCCTTACTAAATCCTAAATTGTATAACTCCTTCAAATATATCAACGGCGAATATGGTATCTTTTGTAAACCATTCAGTAGAGCTCTTAGCAGGCAATGACCATATTTGAGGAATGACTAGACATATGTAGGGGTGTCATCAAGACACCATGAGTTAACAATACAATTTGTGTTTAAGTTTCTCTCCACATACATCGTGTTAACTTAGTTGTACTTTCCTAGCATTTTCGGGTTCGCGCATTTTTAGCTTTTGGGTAGTGAAAAAGTCAATTTGCTGGGAAACTTATTAGTAAAAAGCAAATTCACACGGCAGGACATAAATCTAAAATTACTTGCTCAATGTTGTTTGACTTGTTTCCTTTCTTTAACAGCTAGATGTCCATTAATTATATGCTAATAAAACTTGCCCTTCATCCTCAATTGATCTAATATAGCTCTGTGACTAATTAAGTAGTATAACTACAAGATGGTAAACAATAATCCATGGTAACTTTTTGCAGTATCATTTTCTTCTTCTTTGTATTGTGTGGCTCAGGCTGTTTTGAGAGTCTCAACATTATCTACAATGGTCGAAAAATTTGAACCAAATACCCTCTCAAAATAAAATAATCGGTGTTGCAAGGAAATGCAACTCAATTGTTTACGAGCAATCACTCTTCCACTCTGGGTTGCGTGTCTGGTTCCTCATCTCCCAAAATCGTTCGTATAAAGGAAAAGAAAACGTATAACCGTGTGGGACATAGGAGATAAGAAAGCAATTAAAAAGATTAAACAGCATGACCCCACGAAAAAATAAGGAGAAAGTAAAAAGAGGAATCTGTCTTTTTGTGCAGAAAGAGGAAGACTTCTTGTGCTCATTGCAATTTGAAGGGCTCTAAAGTGGTCTGGATCTGTTGACTTTCATAATCTATGGAAAAAATCTATGGAAAACAAGTCCCTTCATCTTCATCATCATCTGAAAACTTGAACGCAGTAAGTTCCTCTTGCAACTATATATGCGGAATCCATTATTTATTAAATAATTATTTCATTTTTCTACAAGATTGTATTGTTAATTAATTATTTCATCGATAACCAGCTAGATAATTTGTTCAGTTTTCAGCCTTAATTACTCCATCATTCAGTTTGGATTTGTTGATTATCCGTGCAAACAAGCGCCCTCATGACCTGACAGACTTCCATGAAACTGCTTCTTGCTACAGATCTTGTCCAATATCCGTGCAAATTTCGAGTCTTGAAACGTAGGATTGCAAGGTAATCCCAAAACTGCCCCATTTTATTTGTTCAACATGTTAAAATTTAAGAAAAATGATGTTTACTAGTATGATTTTTTCAATCTTGAGTTTTTATGGTGGGTTTTATTGTGCTTTATCATTGAGTAATATTATATGGTGTACGTGTTTTCTTTTGACAAACGATAACATTAGTCGGTTAAACTGTTAGTTATTAGGAAAGGGGATCGGTGGGGATCAAACCAACATGAGAGTGCATAGACATGATTGGTTTTCATCATTGTAGTGAAGCGTCATTTGCTTATATGGTGTTTTTTTATTGGGATTTATACATACAATATCAAGTTGCTAGATTATTTTTCTGGATTAGGATCAAAGGACAAATATTTTTGACAAACATTTGTACACTCTATTTGTACCTTTAGATTTTACTAGAAGAATTCATGCCCGTGTGATGCAGTGGGTCGAAAAAATTGTTGGGCGATTCAAATCAGATCTTAAGGAAGAGTGGAATTCTTTTTTTGTTATTTGGAGAACAACATCAGGTCAAAACAAGTAACATGTACTGTGAATAATGGAACAAAATAGAACATTTTAATAGAAGGTGTAACCACAAAATATAATGTCTTTGCATAAGAAACATGGAGCATGCAGTTTAATAAACTTGTTCGAACTTATTTACCCTAACTTTGTTCATACATATTTACAACAACACTATCTGCATATATGCTATGGATGACAAAAGTCTCACACTGGAACACCAACCAGCGTACCAAAAAAATGATTCACACACGCATCTTTATTCTATAAGTTAATTCCCTGCTTGTCCCTCGATACTCAAGAGCGAAGGGGAGGGTCTAAGCAGATATGAAAATGATCTATTACTCCAAAGTCTTCTTCATCTGGCCAATTATTAGGTGTGTGATCCTCATCATCAACTATACTTTTTACAAGGAATATCATTTATAACCCAGCTATAGGCATGCCGATATCGTTGAAAGCACTAAAACAATGAAAAATATGAAGTCTTACCCAGTGACGGATCAAGGATTTTAATACCGGTGGTCCTAATATAAAGGCTCTAAAAAATATTAAGCGAAAAATAATATTGAAAATTAAATGCTAGACCACAACTTTTCATTCATAATTTTTGTACAAACAACATTACAAGCTACAAAGTACAAAGACTTATTTGTCAACGACGAGGTATGCGTAATATCGTTCCATACTTCTAATTTCTACACATTTCAATTAATCAAAACAAAAAAAACATATTAATTGATGAAGCTAAAAAAAATGAACTAACCAACACATGATCCAAACAATATCAAAAAATCATAAATAAAAAAATTCATAATAGTTAACAATACCTATAATTATTATGAATTTAACATTCTTTATGATTAATTTAGACTAAAATAAAAATCTCACTTAAATTTAGAAACGAGGGGATTAAGTGGTGTTGAAGGAGCAGAACGGTAGGTTATGTCAGTGGTGTGGTGTCACATCCCGACCCGGGCGGGACCATTTCCTGGGCCCGCTCCACCACCGTAGCACGATATTGTCCGCTTTGGGCTTACCATTCCCTCACGGTTTTGTTTTTGGGAACTCACGAGCAACTTCCCAATGGGTCACCCATCATAGGATTGCTCTAGCCCTCTTCTCGCTTAACTTCGGAGTTCCTACGGAACCCGAAGCCAGTGAGCTCCCAAAAGGCCTCGTGCTAAGTAGAGATGGGAATATACATTTAAGGATCACTTCCCTGGGCGATGTGGGATGTTACAATCCACCCCCCTTAGGGGCCCGACGTCCTCGTCGGCACACACGCGGCCAGGGTTAGGCTCTGATACCAAATTGTCACATCCCGGCCCGGGTGGGACCACTTCTTGGGCCCGACTCCACTACCGTAGCACGATATTGTCCGCTTTGGGCTTACCATTCCCCCATGGTTTTGTTTTTGGGAACTCACGAGCAACTTCCCAGTGGGTCACCCATCATGGGATTGCTCTAGCCCCCTTCTCGCTTAACTTCGGAGTTCCTACGGAACCCAAAGCCAGTGAGCTCCCAAAAGGCCTCGTGCTAGGTAGGGATGGGAATATACATATAAGGATCACTCTCCTGGGCGATGTGGGATGTCACATGTGGACCGTGTGATGAATCTGATCGTGGCCTGTGGAGATTGGAGAGGAGACTGATATTGTGCTGGTGGTCTTCGGTGAAGTGGGGTGGGGATTGGGGAATGCGAGAGAGAATTGGAATTGGAAAAGTTCTATTGGAATTGGAAGAGTTATGACTTTTTCAAAAGCAAGTGTAAAAATATTTGTTCCTTGATCCTAACCTATTTTGTATATATTAGGAAAAAGAACATTTCCATAAAACGTAACAGGACTGCCACTTGATTTGAATCCACCCCATTGCCATCCCTAGCTATTCCCAAATTGTCACCTCTAGATATGCTTTGCTAGGAGTCCATTAATTGATTACTTCACTTTTACTATAAATTTGTACGTGATTGCACATGCATCAATAATTACTTCTCATCATTTTAATTTGTGCGGTTGTGACTATTTCTGAGCCTCAACAGATCAAGCTTCCAAATTTCCAAGGAACTAGTCTTTGGCTGTTACTCTTCCCTTGGTTGAGTTCTGCACCTCAATATTGCTCAAGAACGTTTCGCTATTTCTTTGATTTCTTGGAGTGCCCTTCACTCTTAACATGGCACTGGGAGAGGTTTTTCTTGCGGCGTTTCTAAAGGTGCTGCTCAACAGGTTGACCTCCCACGAGATTCTCAACTACCTTGAAAACTTCCGGGGCGTCACAAAGAAGCTGGACAAGTGGAGGGCCGTGTTATCTGCAATAGGAGGGGTGCTCAGCGACGCCGAGGAAAAACAACTCACCGAGGATGCTATAAAACTGTGGCTCGATGATCTCAGAGACCTGGCTTATGATGTCGAAGACATGTTGGACAAATTTGCCACCCAAATGTTGAAGCGCATGATAGAGGGACGTGATCAAGCCTGCACAAGCAACAAGGTGCGGAACTCACTTTTCAAAATTAAATTCAATTGGGATATGAACTCCGAAATGAAGAAGATTACGGAGCGGTTGCAAGACATATCTGAACGGAAGGATAAGTTTGGCTTGAAAGATATTGGGACGTCTGCTAAGGAATCGCGAAGTCTACCAAGTTCTGGCGTGTTAGATGAAAAGCTTCTTGTTGGAAGAGATGGTGACAAGGGGAGGATTATTGAACTGTTGTCAAGAAAATACGAGCATGCAGGTGCTGTCAATTTTGGTATAGTTGCTATAGTTGGCATGGCCGGAGTTGGGAAGACGACACTTGCTCAACTTGTATTCAACAACGAAGATGATGCCATGAAGGAGTTTGAGCTCAAGGTCTGGATATCAGTGTCCGATGACTTCAATGTGGTGCGAGTGACAAAGGCAATTCTTGAATCCCTCACATCCCGACCCGTTCAAATGGAGGAGTTTAGTAAAATTCAGCATGATTTGAGTGAGCAATTAACAGGAAAAATGTTTTTAATCGTGTTAGATGATATCTGGAACAAAGGCGACTATGTTCTACACGATCTCTGGACAAGACTTCGATCCCCTTTCGGCGTTGGAGCAGGAGGAAGCAAGATAATTGTGACAACCCATGATGTGAATGTTGCAAAGATTATGGGAGCCACTGGAGTTCATAATTTGGAATGTATGGCAGATGATGATTGTTTGGAAATATTTGAGCGACATGTATTCCGGGAAGTTAATAGTGGAAAACTAGTAAATTATGAGTTAATTCGGACAAAAATTGTTGAAAAATGTTGTGGCTTTGATAGGAGCATATTTATGCGACTTAAATGGCTTGTTCTCGTACATTTACGTTATGTTTCTTTAGTTATTTTAGTACTTTAAGCTATTTTCGTGTGTTTGTAGGTCCAAAGGGCTAAAGGAGCAAAAAGATGCATTTTGGAGACTTTTGGAGCACTTTTGGGCTAAGGACGGATAGCTTATGCTTGAAGCCAAAGTGTTGGACGAAATTGAAGACCTAATTGGAGCCAAAGTGTTGGAACCTTGTTCTCTTTAGTTTTAGGACATTTAAACCTTTCCTAATCCCAATCATGCCATGCATAACACACATCCATTCTAACACATTGTCATTGCACATGCATTTCCTTCATTAGTTAACCCACATGCACTTATCACTTATCATCACCACATATCATATCACTTAATCACTTATCACTTATCATCACCACTTAACCACTTATCATATCATAACCACATATCATATCACTTATCACTTATCACTTAACATATCATCCACCTACTTCACCTACAACATCCACCTACTTCACCTACAAATGACATAGCCATATGTTCCCTCCACTACTGACATAGCCATATGTTCCCTCCACTACTCCTATAAATACCCTTGCATTCATTCATTCATAGACATCTCATTTCATACACAACACACCATTTTTCCATTTCCCTTGTAATCCAAACACCATTTTTCCATTTCCCTATTAATCCAAACACCACTCCTCATCCATTTCCATAATCCCCCAAACCTCACCTTAGACCTTGTGCTACAACAACGAGGAAGATAAGAGGGCCTAAACGTTCATACAATTCAAGTGTGAGTTGTTGGAATGTTTAGGTGTTTCTTTGATTTCAAAGTTTAAATTTAATTCTCTTTGTTTTGTACGTATGAGGAATGGAAGAGAAGAGTGCCTAAACGTTCATACAATTCAAGTTTGAGTTGTTGGAATGTTTAGGTGTTTCTTTGATTTCAAAGTTATGAGGAACTAAACCCCCCCTTAGCTAGGGGGTGATTCGAAATATATGTTTATGCTTGCATTTTGATTTGATTACTTCTAATTTCATTTCATAAGTTGTTGATTCAATTTGTTTAACCGTTTGATTGATAACTTATTTATGTATGTTTATTAAGAATGCGCGCTTAATTTTCATGCATGAATATGACGCTAGAATATAAGTGATTTTCACCTAATCGTTATGAACTTATATTCACAAGTAGTGGAGGTTGCTTATAAACAATCGTGTTAAATGAATTCTTGGCACGAGTTTCATGCTCATCATAGTAACGAATGCCTCGTCAACACTTATAGTTTTCATAATGCTTAATGATCTTTGATTGTATCTTTATTATGCTGTTCACGTAAAGGACTTTTGGAGAATGTTGTGAATTGCGTTGCGCTAACCCATCCAATTCATTAACTTAAGAAAAACTTGACGGTTAATTTAAGCGGACCTAATTAACCCGGGGCGTTGAGTTTCATAATTTATCGAAAGACCAACTGAGAATCAATCTTGTATGCAAGTGTAACATGTGTGGAGAAGAACCCCTTGGCTATTCCATCATCCATATTTTCATCACATTCATATTTACATTTTGCCTTTAATTACAATTTGTCCATTTAATTTAATCTCGTCCAAACACAATCCCCCCTTTACTTTATTGTTCAATTTAATTAGAAATCAATTTAGTTTATGTTTTAAAGTATTTTTGAATTCTTTGAGTCTAGTATAGTGTTTTATATTGTGTTTTTACGTTTTTGAGTCAAATCCAAGTGATTAACAATCCCTCCTAATCCCCGGTCCAGAACGATCCCTACTTATATCATTACTACAATTGTCAAAAAGAGGGTTTAATTTGTGTGCGTATAATTCTCGCATCAAATTTTGGCGCCGTTGCCGGGGATTAGAAAATTTGCTAATCCCTTGGATTGTTTGTTTCTGTATTGTCTTTTAGATTTAGTTTTTATTTGTGTTTTGTTTGTTAAGAACAACATGGCACTTGATAACGCTTCTCTTTTGTCACAGCTCATGGAAAGGTCCCAAATGCAAAGAGTTGATATATCTAATCTTCAATCAAGGAATAACGTGTTTTCCAATACTTACAATTCGGATTGGAGTGATCATTCAAACTCTATGTGGTGGGAACCTCAAAATGCTCAACAAGGAGGATATTGGCAGCCACCACAACCTCATATTCAATATGCCCAACCAAACTCAAGTTCGTCAATAGATTATAATCAAAAGCTTAATGAATTAATTTGTTTGGTGCAGGGCTCACAAAATCAAGACAATGAGGCTCAACAAGAAGGATATTGGCAGCCATATGAGGAGTTCTATTCAACGCCTATGCAGCCACCACAAAGGTTGGACCACTTGGATAAGCAAATTGGGCAGATCGCGGAGTTCGTAGGACAGTTTCGAGACCAAGGCGAACTCCCTAGTTCAACCATTGCAAATCAGAAAGGAGAATTTGAAAACACCAATGCTATCATGTTGAGAAGTGACAAGGAGGTTGGAACAGACCCTCAACCATCAAAATCAAATCACAAGGAAGAGGAATACACCCAACCCACGGAAAGGGTGGAAACACCTTTACCGGAGGCACCTATTGCTCCTATGCCATCTAATACAGGTATGGTTGTTCCAAATTTCATTATTTTTAACCCCGTTCCAACAAGTATCCCTATTCCTTGCAGATTCATGACTTCCAAGGAAGAAGAAGGTGAAAAAGACATCTTGGAAGCCCTTTCAAAGGTGACAAGTAGGGAATGTCATGAATTCATCAAAGAGGACGTTCTTGAAACCACAAAATCCAAAGAAGTTAAATTTGATGACATTGGACAAGTCATAACCATCACTTGCAATCTGGCCAAGTCCAATATCCCTGAAACTTTCAAAGGAGTGGTGTTTGTCATTGAGTTCTTGTCGGACAAAACAAGTAAGTTTTTTTCAAATTCCTTTACATTTTATACTAACTTGCTGTTTTTTATGAATCAGGCACCTACACTAGAATTCAAACCATTGCCGGTTCACTTCAAGTATCACCTTCCATTCAAGGACCAATTCCATGCCGTTTGATTTTATTTATGTTAATAAAAAAAAAAAAAAATTAAAAAAAAAAAAAAAAAAAAAGAGAAAGAAAGATACTAAACATGGAGAAAGGTGGAGCTTCACAAAGGTTGTTTGCGAGAAGCCCCACTACGAGGCGCAGAAGCGGAAGGCATAGAAGCGGGAGGCATAGAAGCGGGAGGCATCGGAGCGGAAGCCATCGGAGCAGGAGGCATCGGAGCTAGAGCATTCCAGGCCTCAATACTTGGCCAAGCGCTGGATGACCCAGGAAAAAGGTGCCTCTGGAGATAAGACGCAAGCCTTTGACGGTCACTGTGAATTCGACCCTCAGATTCTTGCAGCTCATCAAGCTTCCTCTTCATCCCCGACGAATAGTTATTTGCAAGCACAAGCAAACTTCTATTCTCGTACTTAAGTTGCTGGATCTCTTGCTTAAGTCTTTCCACCTCTGCCATCAACGATTCCACTTGGCGGGACCGAGCAAGCAGGCGTTGGCCCATGTTGGACACAGAACTCGCACACTGAACACTAAGTGCGAGGGACTCTTGAACGGCCAACTCATTGGACCGTCCTGACAGCAGCCTACTATCTTTTGGAGTGAGGAGGTTTTTAGCTACTATTGTAGCTGTTGTGGCGTCCTGCATCACAGAGTCTTCACCTGAAAGAGGACCGTTAGAAGATAAAAAAGAAGGGCGCCATACATTACCTTGACGGGGCGCAACCGGATCGCTGCTGAGACTCAAATCTAAGCTAAGGTTCGATGAGTTTGCCATTTTTTTCAAAAGTGTTCAAAGAGAAGGGGTGGATGAAGTTAAAATTTCACAAAGGGCCGGAGTCGAGTTTCAGGAATGGGAAATCTTCAGAGTGTGTGTGTTGGGGTGATTGATAGCTCTATAAAAAGCCAAGACGACGCGTCCACCGATTCAAAGAGCCGGGTTTTCCGGCGTAATTTAGGCGACGCTCCCTCGGCTTTTCAGAAAACGCGTTCAACTTTGTCAAAAGATTTCTGACAAAGCTGAAAACACGTGGAGGCCATCATCGCATCTACACATCTTTAGCCGACAAGCGCAAAGTTCGGCGACGCTTTCTCTGCTTTTCAGAAGACGCGTGCAGCTTTGTCAAAAGGAGCCGCATCTGCACTACCACGTGTCGTTCAGAAAGCGAAGGGGCATCGTTCAGAAATCGAAGGGGCGCCTGCTCAGAAATCGAAGAGGCGTATTCAAAGATCGAAGAGGCGCCACTATTTCAAAAAGCCGGATTTGCGGGATCAAAACGTTTGTTGACAAGGGTAAAAAGTACCACCACTTGATATTATCTCTATATATGTCGACCTTCGTCTTTTATGGCAGGGCAAACCTGAAGAAAATGCCCAACTCTCCCTCACCTCTGAGGGCGCACTCCCAGCAAAGCCTTTCAAAATACTCAATTCTTTCTTCTTCCCCAAAGATGATACCAGATGCCTGGAGTACATATGACCCAGGAGGAAACGGCGGATTGAAGCATGTGCTGATTCATTCACCGCTTCTTCAAAGCAAAGGTATCTCATATCATCAAGGTCAAAAGCAAAAGTATCTCATATCATGCTCTTTCCCTGTCTTTTTCTTTGTCCTTGTTCTTACTTGCATGGCAAAGTAAAAGAAGCAATCAGCCGGCACTTGGAGTCAGTCTTCCGATCTGGAGCCAACTGCCTGGAATCTATTCCTGATTGCTTACCTAGCGTTGCTCTCGAGTAGTCATCTTCAACGGTTGTTACACTTCCAGAGAAGGGACCACTCCTGCAAAGATTGAACAAAGAAACAGATAACAGGAGGAAGCTCAGACCTTCGGGGGAAACCAAAAGAACCATCCTGCTGCCCAGATCAAGAGTAGCACAAAGGAAAATCAATGATGGGCGGAAACCAGTTCAAGAGTAAGCCTGTGGAGTCACTATGATCAAAGCCTCAATGCAATTACCAAGGAGAAGATGGAATTTACACTCCATAACCAGATTTGCGTCCCTAAACTCTTCTCTTTGTTAATTACATTCTGCCATGTTTAGTATGATTAAATTGCTTTTTGTGTGTTTACTTATGTTTTGTGTGAATCTATGCTTAAAACATTGAGGACAATGTTTGATTTAAGTGTGGGGGGGGGGGGGGGGGGGGGGTAACTAATGTTATTAATTTAAATTCGTGGGATTTTATCACCCATAACTTCAAATGTTGTTCCTTGCTGTTTTAAGGTGTTTTTAAGTTGTTTTAGAGTGTTTTAGTGTGTTTTGTTTTATAATTCGAAAATCCCATAAAAATTTGAAAAATTGTTTTGAAAAACCCAAAAAGAGTTGTTTTAAGAGTCGTTTTTGTGTGTTTGTGTCTTAGGGTACCTTCCAACACAATGATAAGGATTTGGTTTATAATTGCATGACGGTTAGAAAGAGTTATAAACATAGAGAAAAGTTTGATTTACTCTTGGTATATGCTTGGTTATGGTTATAATGTATGACTTCACATGCAATCATAAAAGAAAAAAATTCGTTTTTGTAACATGCTTGAAGGAAGGAACTCAAACAAACGCTACAACCCTGAGAGACTTGAGCCTATAACGTTCTTTGGAGAGTATAATCTGTGATTTCTTGTTTTCTAAAGTCGTTGCATGATCTCATTATTCTTTGCTTGGTTACTACTTAGAAGGCGTTTCATCATATAGTTCCAAATGCTAGAACTCATGCCCATTTCATTCAAAGCATGTTATTGATTTGCATAACACATATTCAAGAAGAAGTTGTGTAGTGACCACCACCATAGCCAAATAGCCTTTCTTCCCATACTTCGTATATGTTGTAAGTTTTAACCCCGTTGAGCCTCGTTTTGCCTTTATTCCTTGTTTACCCACATCACCCCTTACCTAGCTTAGAGTAGGACTTTCCTATACCCTTGTTCTTAAAGTTTAGTGAGCATGACTTAAATGAATTCTTTTTGAGTTACATTATGCAAGAAAATGAGTGTGGGGGAGTAAAAGTTTGTTCTTACGTTTATATGTATGTTTTGAGATTCAAAAGAAAAAGAAGAAAAGAAAAAAAAAAAAAAAAAAAAAAAAAAAAAAAAAAAAAGGAGTGAAAATAAGTAAGAATGAACTCACGAGCGTTGATGGTTGAAGAAAGGGTCCAAAAAGTTGAATATGGCCCTAAGTTTTGTGTGATTTTCCCTTGGGTGTTCAAAGTTGACTTCTGCGTTCTTAAGGGAATTCTAAGTGCCTAATTCAATACTTTGCTCACTATTGCTTTAAGAATGTTTGTTTATCCTTCACCTTTCATTGTTAGCCAATACCCTAGCCCCGTTACTACCCTTTGACTTCTATATTGAGTGTTATGTATTTCAATTGTGGAGTTTGAACTTGGTATGAGCTTATGGTGTCACTGGTTCTCGCGTCTAAATAGTAGCATTCCATTCATGAGATCATATCTAAACATGCTTATTAACTCCAGAAAATGCTTTCCTTATTATAACATATGTGAGTGTTCGTCTACATGTTTACATCAATCTTCTCACATATACCTAGTGTAGGGTGTGTAGTCAGAAAATCTGTGTGAAAAACGAGAGTACATCTAGTAAGAAATTGAGGGAATTCTCTAAAGGCATGTTACTACATTTGAAATGTGTTTTAATTGCTTAATTGTGAACTAGTATGTGGTGACTATGATTAAGAATGTACTTAAGTGTAAAGATGGCTCAAATCTGTGAGAATAATGATTTTTAACTTGTCATGTGCATTGGAAGTCCCTGATACGATTGTTGGAAGGTGTAGGTTGTGTTTTGTTCTTTTTGTTTTGTTTTTCTGTTTTGCTCGAGGACTAGCAAAAGCTAAGTGTGGGGGTATTTGATAGGAGCATATTTATGCGACTTAAATGGCTTGTTCTCGTACATTTACGTTATGTTTCTTTAGTTATTTTAGTACTTTAAGCTATTTTCGTGTGTTTGTAGGTCCAAAGGGCTAAAGGAGCAAAAAGATGCATTTTGGAGACTTTTGGAGCACTTTTGGGCTAAGGACGGATAGCTTATGCTTGAAGCCAAAGTGTTGGACGAAATTGAAGACCTAATTGGAGCCAAAGTGTTGGAACCTTGTTCTCTTTAGTTTTAGGACATTTAAACCTTTCCTAATCCCAATCATGCCATGCATAACACACATCCATTCTAACACATTGTCATTGCACATGCATTTCCTTCATTAGTTAACCCACATGCACTTATCACTTATCATCACCACATATCATATCACTTAATCACTTATCACTTATCATCACCACTTAACCACTTATCATATCATAACCACATATCATATCACTTATCACTTATCACTTAACATATCATCCACCTACTTCACCTACAACATCCACCTACTTCACCTACAAATGACATAGCCATATGTTCCCTCCACTACTGACATAGCCATATGTTCCCTCCACTACTCCTATAAATACCCTTGCATTCATTCATTCATAGACATCTCATTTCATACACAACACACCATTTTTCCATTTCCCTTGTAATCCAAACACCATTTTTCCATTTCCCTATTAATCCAAACACCACTCCTCATCCATTTCCATAATCCCCCAAACCTCACCTTAGACCTTGTGCTACAACAACGAGGAAGATAAGAGGGCCTAAACGTTCATACAATTCAAGTGTGAGTTGTTGGAATGTTTAGGTGTTTCTTTGATTTCAAAGTTTAAATTTAATTCTCTTTGTTTTGTACGTATGAGGAATGGAAGAGAAGAGTGCCTAAACGTTCATACAATTCAAGTTTGAGTTGTTGGAATGTTTAGGTGTTTCTTTGATTTCAAAGTTATGAGGAACTAAACCCCCCCTTAGCTAGGGGGTGATTCGAAATATATGTTTATGCTTGCATTTTGATTTGATTACTTCTAATTGCATTTCATAAGTTGTTGATTCAATTTGTTTAACCGTTTGATTGATAACTTATTTATGTATGTTTATTAAGAATGCGCGCTTAATTTTCATGCATGAATATGACGCTAGAATATAAGTGATTTTCACCTAATCGTTATGAACTTATATTCACAAGTAGTGGAGGTTGCTTATAAACAATCGTGTTAAATGAATTCTTGGCACGAGTTTCATGCTCATCATAGTAACGAATGCCTCGTCAACACTTATAGTTTTCATAATGCTTAATGATCTTTGATTGTATCTTTATTGTGCTGTTCACGTAAAGGACTTTTGGAGAATGTTGTGAATTGCGTTGCGCTAACCCATCCAATTCATTAACTTAAGAAAAACTTGACGGTTAATTTAAGCGGACCTAATTAACCCGGGGCGTTGAGTTTCATAATTTATCGAAAGACCAACTGAGAATCAATCTTGTATGCAAGTGTAACATGTGTGGAGAAGAACCCCTTGGCTATTCCATCATCCATATTTTCATCACATTCATATTTACATTTTGCCTTTAATTACAATTTGTCCATTTAATTTAATCTCGTCCAAACACAATCCCCCCTTTACTTTATTGTTCAATTTAATTAGAAATCAATTTAGTTTATGTTTTAAAGTATTTTTGAATTCTTTGAGTCTAGTATAGTGTTTTATATTGTGTTTTTACGTTTTTGAGTCAAATCCAAGTGATTAACAATCCCTCCTAATCCCCGGTCCAGAACGATCCCTACTTATATCATTACTACAATTGTCAAAAAGAGGGTTTAATTTGTGTGCGTATAATTCTCGCATCAGGCTTACCACTAGCTGCGAGGACAGTCGGTGGTCTTTTATGTTGCAAAGAAACAGATGAGTGGGGAGAAATATTGGACAACAAACTATGGAATCTCGCAGATAACAGTAGCCTTCTCCCCGTACTAAAGTTGAGCTATCACTATCTTCCATCACATTTGGAAAGGTGTTTTGCCTATTGCTCAATACTTCCAAATGACTACGAATTTGGGGAGAAGCAGCTCGTCCTTTTGTGGATGGCAGAGGGTTTGATTCAACAAAAACCTAACGACAATAAACAAATGGAGGATTTGGGCCGCGACTACTTTCGAGAGCTATTACCAAGGTCGCTGTTTCAAGAATCAAGCGAAAACAATTCACGATATGTAATGCATGACCTCGTTAATGATTTAGCACAATGGGCAGCAGGAGAAATATGTTTTAGGTTTGAAGATAAGCAAGGTAATAACTTGCAAAGCACTTGCTTTCGAAGGGCTCGCCATTTGTCTTTCATTGCTGGTCGATTTGATGGAGTTATGAGATTTGAGGACTTTCCAAAAGTTGAACGCTTGCGGACTTTCCTGCCACTTTCATTTTCAGATTCCAGGGGATGGAACAAATATTTGTCTCGTAAGGTTACTTTTGAGCTATTACCGGAGTTGCAATACTTACAAGTGCTCTCTTTCAATGGCTACAAAATAACTGAGCTGCCAGAGTCAATCAGTGATTTGAGGTTGTTACAGTATCTTGACTTTTCCTACACATTGATAACCAGTTTGCCCAAATCAAAAAGCACTCTTTACTACTTGCAAACATTGATATTGGAAGGTTGTGATGAATTGAAGTCATTGCCTGCGGACTTGAGCAATCTAATTAAGTTGCGCCATCTCAACAACTCAGGTGCATATTTGTTGGAAGGAATGCCTTCGCAACTAGGTCGATTGACGAATCTACAATCACTGCCTCTTTTTGTGGCGAGCGAAGGTAGTGATCAGTCAGGGATAAGAGAGATAGAGCCCTTATTGCATCTCCGAGGGGCATTGTGCCTCTCAAGATTGGAGAATGTGACTGATGTAGAGGATGTCAGGAGGGCCAACTTGAAATGGAAAGAGAGGCTTGATTCGTTGGTCCTAAAATGGTCTCATTTAAGCGACACGGGAGAAACGGAATCCGCTGTTCTTGACATGTTAGAGCCTCATACAAAGCTCAAGGAGCTCACCATCAAGAGTTATGCCGGAAAGGAATTTTCATCATGGGTTGGAGGTCCTTTGTTCTCTAATATGGTGCTTGTGCGCTTAGAGGAATGTAACAATTGTTTATCGCTGCCACCTCTCGGACAATTGCCTCATCTCAAAGAACTTTATATTAGAGGAATGAATGCAGTGGAAAGTGTTGGTGCTGAGTTTTATGGCGAGTGTATCTTGGCTTTTCCGCTGTTAGAGATTCTCGTGTTTGTGGATATGCAGCATTGGAAGGTGTGGCTTCCTTTCCAACTGGATCACGGAAGTGGTGTTTTCCCTTGCCTGAAAAGGCTTTCAATCAAAGGATGTTCTAAGTTGGAAGGTAAGCTGCCAGAGAACCTTGATTTGTTAGCCAAACTTGAAATTGTTGGATGTGAGGAATTGGTGGTTTCGATTGCCAACTACAAACAACTTCGTCAAAAAAAAATTATCGGTTGTAAAGTGTTGAAACATACAGATGCTAAGGTTGAGTTTGAGTTATTAGAGTCCTTGTGGATTTCAAACATTTCGGAGGTGACGTCTCTGCAAACTGGGGAATTGTTCAGGAAGGGATTGAGCAAGGTTAGAGATTTGAAGATCCATGGATGTGAGAAGCTGACGTCTTTTATGGAAGAATGAGGGTAGATTATTGCAGCGGTTGACTTGTCTTGGCTGTTTGGAAATTAAAGACAACTCTCGTCTAGTTGAAGAATTGGGAGAAGAAGCAGAGGAGTTGCTGCAATTGCAAATATTGGAGTGCAAGCTTGAATTTCTGGAGTTAAACAAGTGCGAAAATCTTGTGAAGCTACCAAAAGGATTAAATCAGCTGTCGTCTCTTCAAGAGCTTCGCATACACGAATGTTCACGTCCAGTTTCTTTCCCAGATGTTAAAAGAGAGATGCCAACCAGGAAAAGGACGCTACTCGCACAAAATATCCCACATCCCTCGCATACAGATAGATTTTAAAGAGATATGAAGCTGATGGTCCAGGTATCATTTTCTCGAGGAATGTTTTAATATTAATATTAATATTATTATTATTATTATTTATTAATCATCTTTATTCATGTAAAGTAAAGTAGTCCACAATATTTCTCGGCCGATGTTTCTTCTCCCGGATTCCTATATTTGCTTTTTTTTTTTTTTTTGGGGTAAACGATTGCTATGTTTGCTTGGTCCCTTTTAAACTGATTTGTATTATAACTTTATAAATGTGCTACTCTTTCTCCTAAGTTTGGAGTTTTTCCCTTTCAGTTTTCTCCTAGCAAGATTTTAACCAGGCCACTTAAACCGAATCTTTTAATTTATTTTAACAAATTTTCACTTATGAGCTAGTAATGCATTTTATTTAAGGAAAACTAATGAAAATGACTTGAAAACTTTGAGTTTTAACAATAAGGACAAAATAAAGGGTAAAGTGAATAGTATCGGGTTTGACTTTTTAGTGTAAAAATGTGGTTTTTCGTTAAAGTGAACAGTACCGTAGGCTTTTTGTTAAAACTCTCTTTTATTTAATGCATCGAGAATAAGCAATCAACAAAGAAATGGAAATGCAAGGGGCTCGTTGCTCAAGTTGTTTTGTCTCTAGCATCTAAATGATGATTGGACTCTTGAAAAGTTGTGTTAGCTTCGACATGCTAACTTGACTATTTTTTGATGTGGGAATTAGTTTGCCAATGTGGAATGATGACCACTAAATGACTTCCTTTACTATGACTTGTCTTCCTGAAAGTGGAAAATAGGTGCCAAAGAATTTTGGTCAATCAAATCTTTATACCAAACTTTCGTCATTTATTCAAAAAATGCACTATTCATCTAATTAACAAGTGATAAATTGATGACGATTATGCGTTTTAACTGAGTTCTAAGGAAAATTAAGCGTAGTAATACATCAGTACTAAAACTTGAATAAGCTGGTTCGATTTTATTCATGGATTTAATGTAGGATAGTGATTGTGCAATTTTCCATTTTTTTATTGGAGTCTCAATTTTATTCCAAACGCACAAACCACATCAGGGTTGACGCCGACTTAACGGCGATACGAATCATCTTTCCGTTCCCGTTAGCAAAATAACGTCGTTCATCCTGAAACAAAAACCGTTAAAACCTCATATTCTTTTCCAGATTTCACAATGCAATTTAGGCCCATTTCTGGCCCAACGTCTCTCTCTCTCTCTCTCTCTCTGCTTTCTGAGTCATTTCATTTTCATGGAAAATAATAAAGTTCTTTCCTCATTGATCGAATTCATGTCGGTACGTAATCTCTTTCTTCAATCCGAATATAAATTCTTAATCTTTTGTATGGCTTTATTTGGTTCGTGTTTAAATTCAATCTTTGCGATGCTTATTTCCTGGGTTTCTGATTGGATTGAGCTCTAATTCATTTAGATTTATTCGTTAATTTGTATTGACTTGATTGTAATTCTCTCAGATGCATTGGTTTTATATTAATTTCTTAGCAAAATTCATGTTTTTAGTTTTAATTTTTATGTTTTTATCATTATTAAAGTAAATACAGATACTTGATGCAAAATTTGGATTCTTCAGAGGAGCAGATTATAGTTTTCCAGTTTGATTTATGGTTTTGTTTGATTAGGAATATGGTGAAAATGAAAATGAACAGAAAAGGGTTAGTGAGAAAATGACAAGTTTTCTTTGTGTTTATTACAAAATTAGCAAGTTGAAATTTTTGAGAGTATATTGCTTCTTGGAGCAGGTATTGTTTCGAGAGTGTGAATGCCATGTCGGGAATTGAATTGTTACGTAAATAGTTTGAATGATCTCGGGCGTCTCCACCCGTTGCCAATTGGTTTCGGGTTGGATGCTCGAATTGTAATAGAATAAAAAGTATTGTTGGTTTTTTATTATCTTTCGTTGTTTGTGTGGGGAATATAATCTTTATACAAATTGCTTCCTGATGGTGTTTATGACTGGTTTCTATATTTACTTTTAATGTTTAGTATATTAATGGCATCGCGTGATTCCTAAGTTTTCATGGTCATGTGTTTGTATGGTTCTGTATGTATGTGTGTGATCTTCATCCCGACTTTGAATGCAAAAACTAGCTGGATGAAGAGGTTTTGTTGTTATTACCATGCCCAAAACAAGGATTTCATTGATGGCTAAATAGATTTTTTTTCAATTGGGTTCTTATGTCGTCGGGGAAGGTTAGAGTTCTTTATCCTTTTTCGTATTTCAGTCAAATGGTGTATCTTTTGACATCTGTGCGAAGTGCTTCGTGAAAATGGATTTATGTTGTCTAAATAGTTGTGTTTCAGTTGCCTTTGCTGAGGTTCTTCCTTCCCGTCTGATATCTATTTTCTATCCTTTTCATAGGACATTAGCTCCATGGTGTGCTGGTTGCTTTATGTTTGTATATCCTTGCGTTTTTCCATTACAGTGTTGAACTCAGTGAAATGCTATTATGAATTGGAGTGGTTCCCATTGTCTTTGAGTGATTCCTATCACAACAATGAGGGAGGAAATCCCTCCCTTTTTTTACTTTAGGTCTAGGATTATCCAAATGATGCAGCACTGAACAAGAGTTAGGACTTCAACTCAGTGTCGCGAAAACTTACTACCAATAGAAAGTTTGTAAGCACTTATATTCCGACTCAGATCCTTACCGAAGTTTTTTTGAAAGTTGAAACGATATAGCACTAGGCCCAAGGTTGAGACTAGGTTAGAATTGTTAGATTGGTGTTTGGCATGTAAAGACTAGTGGTATGATATTGGGATACGTTTTTAGGTATATCGGGCCAGTACCTGTAAGCTTGAAGACAACCTAGATAGGTTCGGGATATAACAGAGTGCTTATCTATACTTTTGTTTTTGTAGTTAAGAGAATATGTAATTGCCTCGCAATCATTAGATTTGTAAACTTATTACTTGGGTGCCCTTTGCCTTGCTATGCTGAATAACAATGAGAATATATTACTGAATTCTAACAGGAAAAAGGCAGGCCACTCCCAAAATTTGGTGAATGGGACGTCAATGATCCTGCTTCGGCTGAGGGGTTTACTGTGATCTTTAACAAGGCTAGGGATGAGAAGAAGACAGGTGGAAAACCAGAGTCACCAGGAAAGGTTGATCCTAATATCAGGCATGGAGGAGGAGTGGATCCTGGCACTGGCAGTCCTTCGTCTGTAAGATTTTTTCTCATTAACTGTTGTCTCGTTTCTTTCTCTAATGATTTGATATATACATGAGTCAGCCAATGGCAATGTATTATTTGCGGTTCTCTTAGGTGCAAGTTATTGCTTTTCAAGTGACGTCAGTAGTACAATATTCAACTATATGTAACACTGCCTTATCTGTCAAACTCAGCGTACCATTTGATGTGAAAATCAATGCAACTGACTTATACAGAACTCTATTAACGAAATGTGGCAAAAGACAGATCTAATGTTAGGGCCAAGATACTTGGAAAATAAAAGAATAGAAGATGATTCGGCTGTTTTATCTGCATTATTCCATTCGAGTGGAATTGGCATGCGTTAACTTAACTCGGGTTCTGTCTCCTTTTTGACAGATGTAGCCTAATTGGAAAATTTGTTTGTTTTATTGTGAATAATAGAAAGAACTAATGGCCCTGGAAATATTTGCTCTTGTCAATTGATCATTGTGTCGGCTTTTCGTTTTCTCTATATGCGTTTTCTGTATCTGCTGCATTTCCAATTAGTAGAATAATAGAACAAATAACTGGAGGGTGATTATTTCTGCTGCCAAAATCTAATATGCTTGAATTCCTCACTCTTTGCGGATGATTTGATTTGGTTTGATTTCCTGGTGCACAGAAAAAATGGTTTTGCTGCATTCATCAACCACAGGCAGAGTCTTGACAATGTTGTTCTCCTAAGTGCTCCAATGGAGGAGCACGGTGTTCTGTAACTGGCTCCACCATATATTTCCAAAGAAGATAGGGAGCTGTATAGCAATGATGGATGGAATTTACCGTGTGGCGTATAAAACCAAAACAAAAAAACTTGGTGATGGGAGAAGTAAGAACGACAACTACTTATTGTATCTATACTGTCCGTTCGATGTGATGATCGGTATTAGAATACACCGATCTGTTTCTTCATTTTATCTTTGCTTCAAGCTTTAGAGCTTTGCTTATGACATTCTTTCCTTCTTCCCGAATTGTATTATCAAACCACTCTAGTGTGTGAAATTATTTTGTTTCCGATTTCAAATTCCGAAAAACTTTCTTCTTTTCCATGTGTATCTAGTTTCGGTAAATAAAGTCTACATTTCAATAAAAAGAAGACGAAGGGAAATGATTTCTTGCTAGATTTGAATGTTTGAGCAATACCGGAGGAGTCATTCCGCTTTCCTTGCAAATCGCAGTTTAACGCATATGCCCAAAATCATAAGCATGGAGTAAGAATTGAAGTGTAAAATTCTTCTACTGTGATTAAGTATTGTGGCTGTGTCAAGGTTAGACTCTGGTCACCCCAAGCTTCTGTCCAAAAAGGCAGCGAAGAAGGAAAACTTGGGGAACTCTGGCACCGACAAGCGCTGCTGACTCCAAAAAAAGCCTTATGGATCGCCCTCTGACCCGTTGCTTCGTTTGCTGCATCAACGATTGCAAGAAACAATTTATATTACGAAAAGATTGAGAAAGAAACTATGCTT